TACTACTACTACTACCTCTACTACTACCACTACTACTGCTACTACTACTACTACTACTGCTGCTGCTGCTGCTATCACTATTACTACTACTACTACTACTACTACGACGACGACGACGACTACTACTACTGCCACTATCACTACCACTCCCATGCCTGCTGCCGCTGCCACTGCCAGAGCCACCGGCACTGCCACTGCCAATGCCAGTACCAGTGCCAGCCACCACCACGACCACTTCTGGTCCTTTTCCTGCTGCTGCTGACCTTGTTGTTCCAGGTGAGGACGTCTATCTGCCAGACCCGCTGGCAGAGGTTTCAGACGCAGATGCAACTCTCCTGCCGAAGCCGAAGCCGGTGATGTACAAGTTTCTGGGTTGCCATTGAGGAATTTGATTTAAGTTAACCCTGATATGTACTATATATCCCCTTACGGTAACTTTATCTGAGTTCCTTAACAGCAACTCAACCCAGGTTTGTGTCCCCTGGAGAGCTCGGCTACACGGGCTACACGCTCTTCCAGGGACCGCCATGTTCACAGCACTGCACATCGGCTGAGACGCAGATGCGCATCGAGTCGATGGAGCAGCTTACAGTTGCTCTGCTGTTGTTCCCAACTCCACAGTGTGATGAACTGGAGGAGCCGCCACCAGAAAGAAGTGCCACCAAGCGAGGCAGCAGCAAGGATCGGCCACCCTCCAAGACCGCGCCCGTCCCTCCAAAGCCCAAGCCGGCGCCAACGGAACCACCCGAGCCCCCGGCCTGGCTGGCAGAAGCCTGGAAGGCCATCCCTCAGAAAGTCGCCACCACCGTTGAGTCGCCGGAAGGGACCTTGGTGAAATGCATACAGGCCTACACACAAGATTTGGAGCCTGGAGAGGTCCTCTCGGTGCCAGGCTGCGGACCTGACTTCTTCGCCATCTTCCTCTACAAGCAAACCTCCCCAGAACGCCCCGATGTGGTGCGGCCTCTGGTGCTGCGTGAGCCAGCGCTTCTGGCGGCAGGTGATCGCGTAGAGGCCCTACTGCAGCAGCTAAGTGCGGAGCTGGGGGATGAGATGGCCAGGGAGGTGCTGATGACCGAGGCGACGACGCAGGCTTCTTTCCAGCCGCCTCAGAAGCTGACTGTGAAGGGAAGCTCGCGCACGGGCTGGCCGAAGCTCTGCCAGGAAGGTAGCCACGAGGACATCGTACGCTGGATCTTTGAACATAAGGTGTGGCATCTTCGGTTTTAGCCTGCTTAAACCAATGCTCCTGCCGATAAGCATGGAGTTTTCCTGTAGTCGCTAGAGGAAAGAGGGGGCCCCATGCAGGTTGACGTGTTGGCCGGGATCACCTCGGAGCCTGTGGCGCGGGATATCCTGAAGAGTTTGGGCGGTTTGAAGGCTCCTGTAACGGTCCCGCTGATGCAAGATCGCTGTGCTGCGATTCGCGAGCTCTTAGATCTCAGATCTATCTCGGCCACGCTGCAGAACCATCCGAAGCTTCTGACACACAGCTCCGAAACTTTCCGAGAAAGCTTCAGAGAAGTAGAGGAGCACCTGGGCACACTGGCGGCTCGGGAGGTTCTGCGTGCGCACGCTAACCTTCTGATGGTGGACAGCCAGCTGCTAGAGTTCTTCTCCATCATGTCGGAGCGGTTTAACGATGACGACCTTCGGCATCTTCAGCAAACTGGCAGCGGTATCCCGGCAGAACGGCTTTTGCTTGGGTCGGTTTGCGGATAATGAAGGGTTTGACTCCTGTTCGAATATCCGCAAGATACGAACATGCAACAAACAAAGCACATTGGCGGCGGTGCAAAACATCAAAAGCCAGTTGCAGTACGCCATCCTTCTGCAAGGGTACGGCCAAAGCCTCATATTCGCAGCAGGAAAGCCCGAAGCCATGAACCTAGTTCAAAACAGCTAAGGCAAAGGTCTTCTCTCCTAAACCCTAAACCCTAAACCCTAAACCCTAAACCCTAAACCCTTTTCAAGAGGGATTCAGTCCCGGAATCCAGCCCCCCAGGCCCCAAACCCCGATCCCAAACTTCAGAAATTCGAATGCAAACGACGACCCTAAACCAAAAAACCCCGAAGACTCTCCTAAACCCTCAGCCATCTTAAGTCATATGTATATATATATATATATAAACCCTATAAAAGCCCCACAAGCCCAAAGCCCGATAAAAAGAAAAAAAACGCATATGCCGAAAGTTGATCAACGGCAGGTGGGTGGCGGAAGTGGCCCGAGATCGTCGGAAAACCCCGGCCGGAGATCCAAGCTTGGCGAGGCCGACTTAAGGGTTTAGGGGTTAGGGGTTTGGGCTTTAGGGTTTAGGGTTTAGGCTTCAGGAGTTTAGGGTTTAGGCTTTAGGGTTTAGGCTTTAGGGTTTAGGCTTTAGGGGTTTAGGCTTTAGGGTTTAGGCTTTAGGGGTTTAGGGTTGGGGGTTTAGGGTTTAGGGCTTAGGGTTTAGGCTTAAGGCTTTGGGCTTTAGGGTTCAGGGTTTAGGCTTTAGGCTTTAGGGTTGAGGCTTTAGGGTTTAGGGTTCAGGGCTTCGGGTTTAGGGTTTAATGTTTAGGGTTTGACCCTAAGCCCTAAACCGCTACAGACGGGGCCAGGCTTGTCCGAGTGTGAGTGGCGAGACCGCACACCCTAAACCCCAAACCCTCAAACCTAACCCCTAAACCCTAAACTGGGCCCTAAACCCTTAAACCTAACACCCAATCCCTGCGGTGCGACTTGTCAGCTGGGCGGGTGGGAAAAAAACCGGGTGTTTGATCTGGGCTTCTGGTTTAGGGTTTAAGGTTTTGGGTTTTGAATTTGGGCTTTGGGGTTTAGGGGGACTTCGGGTTGGCTTTAGGGAGGTATCAATCTGGCCTAGAGGGCTTAGGGGTGAGTAAGAGTTTAGGGTTTTGGGGTTTTGGGGTTTTGGGGTTTCATGTGAGGTTTGGGGGTTCAGGGTTTAGGGTTTTGGGGATGCATAAATGGAGGCTTTTGCAAGTAAAACATGTTTCATGGGGTTCTGCAAGCTCTTCACGGGAGTTCTTGCAGAGGGTTCAATAACAGAGGTGCCTTGCCAATTACAATAGGGCTTGTATATTGCGGTATAGCTAGATTACGAGGGCTGTACCGACAGAGAGAGAGAGAGAGGGGGGGGAGCCCAGTGCCCATTAATCAGGAATATTCCAGATGTTTAAAGCAGATTTTGGTCTGTGGCTCGTGAAGGATGTTTAGTGTTCGAGGTTTCGGTGGTTGTCAATGTCACTGTCATTTGCTCATGATGTTCAAGAGAATCCCAATAGTGTAAAATGCCGATTTGGTGATTGCTTAGCAATGGTGGCCTGCTGCAGTCGCTTGCATTGGCAGACCACTTTTCATGTGCAACTAAATGGTCTGAAACCAGCCTCGGAGGACACGTGGCGGGTCATCACCGACAGCGATGCTGTGCCGAATCCTGGCTGGTATCGTTCTTGCGGTGTGGATGGTGCAGGGCTTGGGCTCGCGATATCTCTTGAGTGCTCGTGTATCCAAAGCCGTAGGGCCTTTCCATCGACGAAAAACCAAAGGAGGCACCCGGAAGCTGTCAACCCTTCAAGCCTTGCACTCATAGGAGCCCTGAGCCCTGCAAACAGCAGCAGCAAGCCATGATCATCAGCACAAGCCCAACCACTACAACGGAAACCCGCGAACCCATGATCCTGCTAGCACCCTCAGCACCAGTACCGACACACACGCGCACACACATCAAGACCATCACCAACACCAAGACCAACATCAACAGCAGCAGCAGCAGCACCACCACCACCACCACCAACGCCAAGACCAACAGCAGCAGCAGCAGCCGCAGTGGGCATGCAGTGGCAGTGGCAGCAGCAGCAGCGGCAGCAACTGCAGCAGGAGTCGGCATGCGTGGCAGTGACGGCACAGCGGAAGCAGCAAGCACCAGCAGCGAAAAAACATTCCTGCGACAGCAGAAACGGCAAGCAAAATAGAAGCACCACCGCAAGCTAGAAAAATCACTACCAAACAGCAACAGCAGCGGCATTGACAACACCGCAAACTGCGCTGTTTGGTGATCTAGACATGAGCAGTTATGCAGACAGACACAACACTTAGGATCACGTTTTGATCACGGCATTTACGACAACAGCTTCGAGCGGAGTAGTAAGTAACACAAGTAATGTCTCGGCACTGGTAGTTGCAGAAGAAGTACAGACCCATTGCCGGTGCGTCGTCGCAGTATTCTTGGACATTTCGGGTCTACGTTTGGGTAGTTACGGTCCCTGCCTTACCGAAAATCCCACTCTACTAGCAGCGCCAACCTTCGCAATAGCGGCAATGATCATTAATGACAAAGTTAACTTAACAGAACCAACACCAACACCAACGGGCAGTAGAAAGCACGTAGTGGAAAGCACCATGGCCAGCCTAGAACCAGTACTTCAACGGTTTAGGGTTTAGGGTTTAGGGTTTTGGGTTTAGGGTAATTCTAGTAGTAATATAAATCTAGAGCCAGCAACTGATAAGCCCAAACTAGCAACCACAAAAGCCCCGAGCCTCAGGTCTCAGAGAGTTCGTCGGGTTCTGGGCCCTAAAGCCCTAAAGACCTTAAATCCCAAAACCCCAAACCCCAATCGAGATGCCTGAGTAGCCAGACTTCAGTAATACCATGCTTTAGGGTTCCCTGATGTAAACTATACCACCAACAAAACAAGCTCAGACACTTTTGCAAGCACTAAGGCCCCTGTCTTGAACCCGAAAACCCGCAAATCTGAACCGTCAAACCAGAGTAAAAACCCCACGAAACGCACAAAACTCCCCCAAGAATGCATTCAAGCCCACCCTAAACCCCAAACCCTAAACCCTAAGCCCAGAGCAGTATCCAGCTCCCTTCTCGAACCCGATGTAGGATCCTTATAAAGCTTGAACCCTAAACCCGCAATCGGCCTTGAATTAAAGGAACCCTGCAAGGAAGCCTTGTAGACCTCTTAGAGGTAGAACCTGCAAAAACAAACATAACCAGCACAAGAAAAACCTAAATATCGCCGCAGACCCTCAGCCGTAAACTTCAAAGTTCAGCATCCTTGTCAGAAACTTGATGCTGGAATGGATCCCAGGACCGAGTGCTAGCATTTGGAGCGGAGCCACAGGGGGCAGCGGCTTTGGCGATGCTGACAGGCGCAGCGAAAAGTGCATAAGGGCGGTGAGGGTTTCGGTTTAGGGTTTCTTCTTGGATTTTACACGGCTTTACTGGGTTGTTTACGGGTTTCTGAAGGGTTTTATCGACCTCAATAGGATTTCGTCGGGTTTACAAGAGGTCTCGTTGGGCTTTATGTGGTTTTGCAAAAACTCGAAAAGGGGAGATTAGCTTCTTGCCGGCTTTTTACTTTGGCGAACCGTGCTTGGCGTTTGCCGATGCCAATGATTGGTTGGCTAGAAAACAGACCGTGCCCGCAGTTCCCAATGACGTTTATCGGAGGAGACAGGAAGATTGAACGGTGCCGTTACCCCCCGAACGCACGCATACATACCACCCCAAAGCCTTATTCTAGTAGTTCTAGTTCTTAAACAAGGCCCCATTGTCTGTTGTGAGCTCCGAAACCCTAAACTCTGCATGCTTGAAGCCCCTGAACCCGAAGCCTACATACTAGCATCAAGGCCCTCTCTTTGTTGGTGGCAGCTGTGGAATCCGAGTTTCGGTGTGGGATTTCTGCAAGCCTAAAGCGGCCTCTGGAACAAAATGGAAAAGATGGTTTCAATGAACATGAACCTATCCATTTTAGGTTTCGGCTCAGGGTTTCTACCCTAAACCCTAAACCCTAAACCTTGGCTTTCAGAGAGCTTGTGGCGGGACCGTGCGACCCTAGGAATCCCCCTTTCCCGGCAAGGCTTAAGGCTGAGAGCCCCCAGTTCGTTTGTTACGTTGGAGTTGTGAAGACCTGAAGCCTAAACCTTACATAAACCCTAGCCGTGTGGGTTCTTTAGGGCGCATACCGAAGCTCCAAAGATGTGAGGGTTAATGTTTAGGGCCTTTCTTCAAGTTTGGGGGTTGGAGGTTGAGGAGCATCTGTTTCATGTGCATGCATGTGTCCAGCCATGCCCTCTGTCTGGCTCTTCATACTTTGTCAACGCTAGCGTATTGACTTGTATGGTTGGTCCTCAATCAGCTTGAGGGATATTGAGTCGATTCAGGGATGCCGCATAAGGCTGTGTATCGTTCTGCCTGGTTGTGCCACAGTGGCTTTGCAACTGCCTGCGTCAACTTTTCTCGTGCTCTGCTCTTCGCAGCAGACTGTGTGGCCCTTGTGCAGGCGAAATTCCCGAAATTCCACCGCTGCTGCTCGAGTGAGGAGGGAGGGGACCAGGTGCCAAAGATGTTTCGGGTTTAGGAAACCCGAAACCTGTAACCACAAGACACAAACCCTACAGAACTCTACGCCCTAGACTCTAGACCTAAAGCCCTAAACTTCAAAAGCTTCTAAGCCCTTAACAAAAAGGAAACAGCCCTACAAGCAAATACCTGTCTCACCCGAAGCCCAATGTGGGAGCTCCAGCACTTTAAGGTGCTGCAGCTCCTGCATCGTCCGCTTTCGTCTCAGGGAGCCGTCCTAAATAAAATCACTCGGATGGTTGCATATGAAATTATGAGCATACTGTATAGCAATAAGATGAATAAGAATAACAGTGTTAATAACAAGACACTAGAATAATAATGATAGTCATTATAGTCAGAGTAATCAGAATACTGATTCCCCGATACATGCAGCTACTCCTAATAGGACAGGATGGAACTAAGCTGCTCTCCTGGATTAAGGGCTTAGGGTGAGGCTTCGCGGTTCATCTGCAGTCGGATGACCGGCCCCGTCTCACAGCATGTCAGCATGGCTGCGTCCGAAGGCTGCAGTCGCCAATTCACAAGCCGGCATGCAATTGAAGAAAAATCGTCCCGTGAAGCCTAAGGCCGCAAGGGCCCCAAACCCAGAACCTAAGTCCTCAACCCTGGCCGACCAGATCCGAAAACTCACATCCTCAGGTGAAGACATGAGCCCTGCTTAGTATTTCGTCTGTTTTTGGAAGGAGTTTGGGAGCAGAAGCGAGCGTGAGCTGGGCAGCAGAGGGAGAGAGCTGGGGAAGAAACGACTCAAGAGCGACAGAGAGGGAGAGATGGAGACAGACCTCTAGGGCTCTATGGAAAGAAGGACGGAGATGTGTAGAGCAAGCATGCAAGGCTAGCTACAGTACTTCTGTTCGAGCACACGTTTGGCTGGAGAGGAAGCCATAGGTGAAAGTTAAAGACCATGACTACTCGAAACCCTAGTCCCTAAACCCTAAAACCCTAAACCCCTAAACCCTAAACCAGGCATGTCCCAGTTGTGAGTGCTGAAACCCCTAGACCCCTTAAACGCTAAACCTTAAAACCGTAAACCTAAACCCCACACCGACCCTTCAAGATTCTGTTCGCTCAGTTTGCGGATCGGCGGCACCTCGTATCGCAAGGGTGATGCCGTGGAGGTCTCCCACATGAGCTCCTGCTGCGGTTTAGAGTTTAGGGTTAAGGGTTTATTCAAAAAGGGGCACGGGTTATAAGGCTTTAGGGTTTAGGGGGTGTCATCCTTGACGTCATTGCAATCTTTCGTCTTCCGCTTGGTGTTTTTGTGGTCCGCGGCCTTAAGCCGAAGCCGGTCGAAGCAAGTCGGCGAGTTTTGGTATCTAATCTAATCAGTACGAGGCCACGACATGGGTGTTTGCCCCGGAAAAGACTAGAAACCCTGTTGTTCTCTTCGCGTTTCCAGAACTTGGGTCATGCCGGTCGCAGCGCCTCCCTCGAAGCCCTCAGTACGCACTTTGCAGCATGAGCCTTAGCAAGAGCAGGCGGGCCTAGTGCCCGGGCTGCTTGTAATGTTCAAGTTTCGCTCGCGGAGAGGTAGTCACGTTGCGTTTGCAGGTTAATTCCTCTGTCTGAGTCTGAGTCCGAAGTCGGACGCTTGATTCGCAAGCTGAAAACGCGACATGAGCTGTAAAACCTAAAACCCTGCGCTTTCGTCATTGGCAGCCTCGCGAGGTGTGGAGCGACTCCAAATCTACTTGGATGGATGCGATCGTGCAGGACATGGCCATCAATACACCCGCTGCCACCTGCCAAACCTGGGGAGGAATATCGGGCCCTAAAAAATTACCACTACTATTCTTTGGGGGTGCCCTATCATGATTATAGTATGAATATACCCCCCAAAACCCTATTCTAATAATTAAGGCCCCCTACATTATAGAAACAGTATCCCTTATAGTATCCCCTTTAAGGAACCCTTTAAGGGAACCCTATTCTAAGTATTCAGGCCCCCTTACATGAATCGGATCTTGTTGGGTCTTCGTACGGTCTTGAACCCAAATTTCAAGAGGATGTACAAAATTCTGTGAGGGTTCAGCTTTCAGGGTTTTTTTAGGGTTTTTACGGTTTAGGGTTCTGCAAAGTGTAATCGTGACTCCAATGTTTTGCACTGCCTAGCATCCTACCAGTCAAGCCCCAAACACTGAAGGTTATGTCGTCACAACGCTACCCAAAACCCTAAACCCTAGACACTAAACCGAGTGAAGGGGACCCGAAAGCCATGAGCCTACCATGGGATCCTTAAGGTTTACAAGGCCCAGACCTCTCCTCTACCCTGCAAACCCTGGACCCCGAAGTTACCGCTCAACTTAAACCCAAAATCCTCAACCCTCAGCCCCAATCCATGAAGCTCCAAATCCCGAATCTGACAAACCCTAAATCTCGAAACCCTACATCCCCCTTGATCCTTAAATGCTAAATCCACAAACCCTAAATCCTGAGTTCCTAAATCCTTAAATCCTAAATCCCAAACCTAAATCTCCTAAATCCCAAACCCTACTCCTTCAATCCTAAGATCTGAGCCTTAAACGCACTGCCGCCGCCACCACCGACCTCGTTCTCGCGAGGCTTCTGCTGGAGCCATTTGGGCTCCAGCCGGCCCCCCTTAAAGGGATCTATAGAGGTTCCTTTAAGGGTATGTCTTGGATATTTGGGGCTCTACACTGGGGCTCCCTTTGTGGGATCTATAATTTTCGTTTTTTCGGGGTTCCTGCAGTTTGACAGGGTTTTATCTAGGTGCATAAGCTACGTGCTACTCTTCCGTGGGGTTCCTCATTCTGATGATAGTAACTACACTATACCCTCAAACCCGACTCTGACCAAGAAGGCACCTTCATGACCCTGGCAAGCCTCAGCCGCCTTTTCCAACGATGTCAATTAAAGGCCTTACACATAGCGCGGTCCCTCAACCCAAAGCCCCAAACTCGAGGCCCCGAATCCAAAACCCAAAAAGATCTAAGCAAAAAGCCGTCAATATTTGGGTCCTTTAGGCTTTGGGTTTAGGGTTTAGGGAATATTTGGGTTTGGGCGTGCCTCCTGCGCTCTCTCCATGGCTCAGCTTGCCTTGAGCTTCCAGGTCTCATGGCTCTCAGCTTTTAGGTTTGGAAAAGACGTTAGGCTTGAGGGTTTAGGCTTTTAGGATTCGGGTATAGGATTATAGGGCTTAAGGTTTAGGGTTTAGGGCTTAAGGGCTTTCTCAGGGCTTTCAACACAGCCAGGCGCGACATGCAAGCCTGATGTAAAAAAGGGCTTAAGGGCTTGGTGTAGAGTCTAGGGGCAGGTCGGGGATTCCCGATTTGGGTCTCAACGTTGGGCTTTGGGTGGGAAATGCATAAACCGGGTGTTCGAAGCTAGAGAGCCGGCTTCGCTCAAGCAGTACATTGTAGTACGATTATTCATCTGCGCATGGGTTTCATTCTTCGACGATCTCTGGGGTTCAGGGTTCCTGAGGGTTGGCAACCCAGTTTTCTCACGGCACTGAAGGAACACCTTGAAAAACCCACTTTAGCAACGCCATAAACGGCAAGTAACGCCGTCACCTGGTAGCAACGTTTTCGATAGCACATACTGTGCCTTTCTGCAGTATACAATGATACTGTTTTAGACTGGGTATGGTTTTCAAGACCCCCCTAAACCCTAAACCCTAAACAGCAAAAGACTATGCACCCTGCTCTGCTATGAAACCCTGAACACCGAGATCCTCAGCCCTGAAGCCTCTTCTTCATCATTAGGAGTTTAGGGGTTTAGGGTTTAGGGTTTAGAGGTTAGGGGTTTAGGGATTTAGGGGTTTAGAGGTTTAGGGGTTCAGGGGTTTAGGGTTTAGGGTTTAGAGGTTTAGGGGTTTAGGGATTTAAGGGTTTAGAGGTTTAGGGTTTAAGGGTTTAAGGCCCCTGCCTTTTGCACCCCAATCTCTGCAGATCTTCGGTGATGAACTTCCTCGGCAACGCCGCGACTGGCAGCTTGGCCTTCGGATTCTCTGTTTAGGGGTTTAGGGGTTTAGGGTTTAGGGTTTAGGACTCAGGCGTTGGGTTCTTGTGTGATAGGTCAAACGGATTAAGTTTCAAGACCCTTGTTATGAGGACTTCGGGAAAACAAGCTTCCATGTTCCTTTAGGTTTCAGCTCCCTTAAGCCCAAATCCTAGAGACTTGAATAAATGTCCCCAGCCAGCTGGGCGGGCGGGGAAAGCATCCTGCAGCCTGAACCTTAGAGCCCCACACCCGACGCTTTAAAAGACCCTAAACCCCTAACCCTAAACCCCTAAACCCTAAACCCTCGGACAAGCCTGTGTGAGTGTCAAAACCCTAAACCCTAAACCCCTAAACCCTAAAACTTTGTCATAGTTGGGTAACATTTTAGATTTTTAAGGGTACTTAAACCCAATAAGGAATATTAATATATTTAATTTTAATACTACCCCAACCATGAACTAGTAAACCCCTAAACCCTAAACCCCTAAACCCTAAACCCCTAAACCCGAAACCCCAAAGTCTCAGCCCCAGATCCAGGTGTGCAGAAACGGCGCCAAGAGCCCATCCTCGAGGCCACGCTCGAAGAGTTCGAGGCGGAGGTCCAGAGGCACCCCCTGCGGCTCCAATAACCTGAAACCCTAAACCCTAAACCCTAAACCCTAAACCTGTGCTAAGAGTAAAATTTCTCTCTGTGTTATTATTGCTATGATTGTGATTATTAGCTGCTAATCATCACAATAATAGCAATAATAACACAGAGAGAGAAAGTTCTTCGAAATTAACAATAGTAGCGGCAGAAGCAACACTGGTAACAATTGTGCCCCAGAGTTATGCTGTCACAACCCATTATTCCCACTATAGTGGTTATCAGTTTCAATTGTCCTTAAGGTCGTGGATTTTCCCTCTCCGGGGCTTCAGTCCCAACCGAGGTCCGATAGGCCTTCGGCTAGGTGGAATGTAGCCGTAACCCTTAAACCCCAAACTCTAAACAACAAAAACTAAACCCGAAACCCTAAACCCGAAGCCCTAAACCCTAAACCCCAAACCCTAAACCTAGACCCTCAACCCTAACCCTAAACTCCAAGCCTCAAAGCCTAAATGTGCAGGAGGCTTGGCGAGCCTCGGTCCTTTCTGGTATGCTGCTTCTTCCGATAGTTCCACAAACAGGGGCGACTCATTGTTGATGTTGCTGATTGTTTCTGCTGTTGTTGCCAAGACTACCGCGACCTTGGAAGCAACAGATCTTGTCGTTCTTAGTGCTGTTATCCCCGTGGTCGTGCTTGCGGTTGCAAGTGTCATTATTGCTTAAGTTATGTCTAATATTATTAGGAGTGTTATGGCAATTTTTCCTCTTTCCTGTATTGCTGTCATGGAGCAGATGCTTATGTTGCAAAGCTGAACTGCGGACCCCGCAGGCCTAGTGCCGGCTGGGCCGTTCTGGCCGGCGCTGGTGGCGGACCGCAACTGCTTTACCGTCTCCTGGCTCTAAGAGGCAGAGAGCTTGAGCGGCGAAAGCTTAAAACCTGAAGCTGCGGAAGCTCTGTAGCATAAGAACCTCAGGCCCCAAGCTACAAACTCTTTAGGTCATGGAGCCTAAGACGGTTTACGGTCTAGGGCTTAGGGTCCAATTTAGGATTTAGGGGTTTGGGGTTTATGGTTCTACTGCAGAGCCCGAATGAACCCCTGCACACCTTGAAACCCAGCCACCCCAAACACCCCCCCTTAAGCCCTACAGTCCTAACCAAACCCTTAACCCCAAACCCCTCAGCCCTAAACCCGAAGCCTACGATCCGAGCCCTGCAGCCCATACCACCTTAAAGACCCGACGCCCCAAACCGTAAACCCTGCAGCCCAAAGCCCTGTATTACTACCCTTGCGTAGAACGCTTACATGTCTAGTTGTAGTACACTTGCCGGCTAAACTGAGCAACCTTCAGACTGCTAGAGCCCAACCATTCTCATCATAAGCCCCTGAACTCGACAGCCCTCACGGGCCCAATAAGTCCTAAAAACTCGGAAAGACCTTTGATTCCTAAAGAAGCTTACACCCCCGAAACCGATAAGTTTAGAACGATACCGTGTGAAGATTAGCATGGCCCCGTCCCAAGGAAGCAACAGCCAAATCGAGAAGTGCCACGCCAACAGGCAAAACAGACAAAACATCCCTAAACCCTGAACCTGAAGGCCCAAACCCTGTAACTTAAGCCCTAAATCCTGACCTGAAGCCCTAAACCCCTAAACCCTACCCTTACTTCTTAACCCCTCAACCTTAATCCCTAAACCCTAATCTTGGGCCCTAGGCCTTAGTTCTTAATCCCTAAACCCATAAGCCCTGAACCCTAAACCCCTAAGCCTTCAACCCCTAAACCTTAAGCCCTAAACCCCGAAGCCCTAAGCCTCTAAGCCCTATAAACCCTAAACCCCTAGCCCTAAACCCAAAGCCCTAAGCCCTAGACCCTAATCCTTAGCCCCTTAGAACCTACAGCGAACCCCAGAAAGTTGGAGCATGGGTCTAGGAGAATTAGTGCTAGGATCCCTTATGCTTTGCCTTAAGTTTAAGGGTACCCCGATAACGATGCTCCAACTTAAACCCTAAACCCTAAACCCATTCGCCTCGTACCAGGAACCTCGCCTAGGCTAGTCCGAGAGTGACTGACTGCTGAAACCCTAAACCCTACACCCTACCTTAAGAACCCAAAACCTACTTTTTTGTAGGGTCCCTATAAATCCCATATTAGGGTTTATAATAAGAACCTACAAAAAAGTGGGTTTTGGGTTCTTAAGGTGTGCCTGTAAGGCCAAGCCAAGTCTGGCTCCGAGCTCCGGGGGTCCCTGGCTTTGGCAGTGCCTGCAAGCCTTGCACTGGAGCCACGGTTTAGGAATTAGGGTTTAGGGTTTAGGATTCAGGGTTTAGGGTTTAGGGTTTAGGGTTAAGGGTTTAGGGTTAAGGGTTCCTACAAGGGTACCTAGAAGGGTTCCTTTGAGGGTTCCTATAAGGGCCTCGGGTTTCGGGTTGAGGAATTCAAATCGAAAGTTTAAGGTTTAGGGCTTACGGTTTCAGTAGGGCTTTGGGATTAAAGTTTTAAGTTCAGGGATTAAGGTTTACGAATCGGGCTGATATTGCTTGAGGGATTTTGGGTTCGTTTGCTGCGGCTTATGGTGATTTTGGTAGAGAGGGTTTGAGGGTCTGATTTCGGGTCTAGGCTGCTGGGTTTAGGATAAGGCCATTCTTCCATGGTGGTGCTGACTAACGTAAGATCACAACCGTCCATCCATCCTTCCATCCGTCCGTCCATCCATCCATCCATCCATCCATCCATCCATCCATCCATCCATCCATCAATGAATGCATGAATCCATGTATGCATACACTACATTCGCGCGCACGTTGCATACACTGGGCATACACATCCACATACATACACCTACATTTCTACAGTTTCCTTAGCAACCTTGCATGTTGCTACTTGTGATTCTGATACAAATTTTTGCGGCACCATGGAATGAATGCTGTTTCAGTAGGTGGTGTCGAGGGTCGGAGAAGCGGGGGTTTGGCTTTAACTTGGTTGTAGGGCTGTCGGATGACGGTGTTCGATTTTAGTGTTCGGGGGGGGAAGGGGGTGGGGGGCACTTGCCCGTGCAACCAGAGCCCCAACCCTGCACTGTTGCATGTGCACATATCGCGAACTGTATCAATCCAAGATGCGAAACCATACAAACGAAAGGATCAAGCCGACAACTCCGCTGGCTCATCACGAGCAAAACGCTGCTTTGGCAAGCCAAAATCTCAGCATGTTATATTGGCCTGAGTAGCAAACAGTTCGTTCTGTAGTATGTGCTATTGCATATCAACATCAATTCGATGAACAGGTTTGAGTCTGCTTACGTATATGTATGTATAGGTTCACTTGTAGTTAGTTCTAGTGCAACTCTTATGCATCTTCGAGCATGGGTATCAAGCCCCCTATGACTCGCAGGAGCGACTCTACAGTGGAGCCTTCCTGCAGTCGCTGTTCCCTCGCTTGGGCCTACAGGCGGGACACCCACGGTTATAGGGACGCTTGAAGAAGGTTTAGGGGCCAGTTACAGGTTATATAGGGGCTTTAAGTAAGTGTATATATGCGGGAATGCTTCAGAGCATTGGTGACTGCATACGGATTTTGCAATGAAAGCCCGACTAAATGCGTGCTTCTCCAGTTGTTGATGTTGCTGAGAACTGACGAGGATGATGACGATCATGGCTGTGGCAATAAGGATGGCGCTGATGTGATGACGGAAGAGTCGAGATAAAGTTAGAGGAGGTAGAGGACACAGACGGGGACGAGGAGGTGAAGTTGGGGTAGACTGAAGAGGAGAAATCGACAGATACCCGTTCTGACTATGACAATGATGACGGTGTTCATGGTGGTATTGATGATCTGCCCTTCTATCATCCCTACTGCAGGAACCCAGAGAACTGTACTACGTTGTTCGTGCTTGTCTTGGCGCCCGTGAGACCCTTTACCCGCCTGAACTATGAAGCCCTCCATCCTCAGACCCTAAACCCAAGCGCTGCGGCTTGCGAGAGTGAGAGTCGAAACCTAAGCGCTTTTGAAAGCCTAGGTTTACGGTTTGGGGTTTGGAGGAATTGAAGCCTTTGAGAAACTCTGAACTCCGTAAACCTGTCTGAAGCTTCATTCTTTCCGTGACGTACATGCAATGTTGGATAGACTGTCCCTACTATACTACACGAGCTACTATACCATGCCATACTATACTATAACTATACTATAACTTGAGACCCCGCGGTGCTGTCATAGGCGGGTGACAAAAAGGCTATACCGTAACTACTATACTATACTATACTATACTCTACTCTACTATACTATACTGTATACTGTGCTGTACTGTTCTGTACTATACTGCACTATACTATACTATACTATACTAACTATGCTATACAGTATGTCTGCGATGTTTGCTGCGCATTGTATACTACACCCTGGTATATGCCGCATCCTATATTCCACATATTCTCAATAGCACGCTATGCTCTTTACTATCTGTTATTCTTATCCGCTGTTTTCTGAGTACTAGAACATACTGCAGACTAGATAGTCGATGGTCGATTCTATACGCTGCATACTATACAGTACTCGTACATACCTGTATACTTTAAATCAATACAATCATCATGCATTGAATACTGTCCCTCCCCACTCGAGTATTATGCATTACATAGATATGTAAGGCCTGTTGCTGTACGGGGGGGGGGCGGTACCCTAATAAAGTATATTATGTATGGAACACTAGACGTTAGATACCAGATGTTTTATATACCGTTTAAATTTACACTTTATACTATACTATCAAAAAACCCCTAAGCCCAAACCCTAAACCCTATACTATACTATCAAAAAATGATAAAGCATATCAAAAAAGCATAAAGCATGTCCTGTCGTATCGGTTTTTTGAAGCTGTCGGGGAGGTCTCGGAGCCCGAGCACGACTGCAGCTCCTGCAGCCTGCTCCGCGTCCCCCGGCCTCGGCGGTTTCTCTATGGGTGTATAGTACATGATCGTATCATTGTAGTTATATCAAGTATATTGTCGTAGATTATAACAGTATGTCACTTTAGTATGTTAGTATTGTATAGCATATTTAATTCTGCTATGGTGGTTTTGGGAGGCATTCAGGGCGTAGTGAAGAAGAAGGCCATGGCGCACGTAGCACATATCATCGTAGTAGGTCGAAGTTTGGTGCTGGCGAGTGATGGTGGGGGCTGTGGGTCAGTTTCGGTCATGATATGCAGTTCTGGCGTAGTAGTCGGCGATTGCAGCTGTAATCATTGTATTCTAGCCGCTGCTGTGCCAGGATTCGTCGCACTCCGAAGTCCCAATGGCTTCAGCCTAGTCCCCAGCCGAAATTTCCTCAATGCCCAGCCCAAACTCAAATGCCAGAAGCCCCAGACGCAGACCCTGAGCCCTTGTAAAGAAGCGCTTGAGGGAGACATTTTTTTGGAACCCCTGAAACACCCTATAAGCTTATACAGAAACCTTGCAGAGCCCTGTTGCAGAACTACTTGTTAAGCCTTTAAGCCGGTGCCGAAGCCCGCATTCGGAGCCGTTTGAAGACAACCTTTCAAAATCCTTCAGGGTTTCGAGTTTTAGGGTTTACGGTTTAGGGTTCAGAGTTTCGGGTTTTAGGGTTTAGGGTTTACAGGGTTTAGGGTTTCGGGTTTTAGGGTTTAGGGTTCTGCAAGCCTTATCATTAGAAAACCGCTCTAAGCCTTTAAAAGCTGTCGAGCCGAGGTGGAAGGCGGTGGGTTGGAGCTGCTTCGCTGGCGGCGTCTTCGGGTGCACCCGGATGGCCGTGCGGTGTGCTGGTTTCAGCCGGCAAAGGCCATCCTTACCCCTGTAGCGGTTCCTAAGGATCCTGACCCCAAAGATGAGACCTAGAAACCACCGCTTCATTCCCTGATCCAACAGCCCTAGCAAAATTAGTAACATGCGCTTGCAATGGTCCGTAAAAAAGCTCCCCAAACCTTGCTCCCATCTACTCAAGCCCCTTAGCCCCCTCCTGCTACAGCAGACGCTTTTCTCCTTGCAAAGCTACAGGAGACCCATGAGAAGAAAAGCAGAGGACGGAGCTTCGGCTGGTTTCCCAAGCACCTGGGAGCTTTTTCAGGTGGTGCTGAAGGTGGTTACCATAGCAGGGACGGCTTATGAGGCACGGTAGAAAGCTGCGCGTGAGAGAACACGGCATGTCCTGGCTCGAGGGTTTTATCATGGTTTTATTCGCGATACCTAGTAGGAGAAGCCGTACTTCCATACACATTTCTGAACCCAGTCAGCTAAGCAGAAAGTTTTGTTCAACATGAGAACCCAGGCACTCGGGCCTAGCCGACTTGGTGGGGCTTGCAGAGGTCCGCAAGCAGCTTTTGGGATGTTTGGAGTCATAGGGGTTCGAGAGTTGGATGACTTGGGGCTTTTATAATCGATTCCTTATGTAAGTGATCCTGGAGTTTCTGGGTACCTCGGGGATTCATGGTTTGGGGTGTCATGGCAGAAGTTCGAACGAATGTACTATAAGGGCCTCCGTAATTACCTATATTATTTTGGGGGTTCCTTATTATAGTTATAGTATAATATACCCCAAAACCCTATTCTAATTATTAAGGCCCCTACGTTACAGAACCCTTATAGTATCCCTTTTAAGGAACCCCCCAAACCCTATTCTAATCATTAAGGCCGCTACGTTACAGAACCCTTATAGTATCCCTTTTAAGGAACCCCCCAAACCCTATTCTAATTCTTAAGGCCCCTACATTAGGTGGCCTGTGGCTTCTTGGTGCAGCCGGTGCTGCCGGAGAGCTGCAAACTCCTCTGGCACGCAAAGCTCGCGAGGAGCGGCTTCATGCTCAAAGCGGCCTTGGCCAGCATCTCGGATGCTATAACCAAGGTTTAGGGTTGAGGGTTGAGGGTTTAGGGTTTTAGGGTTTTAGGGTTGTAGGGTTTTAGGGTTTTAGGGTTTAGGGTTAAGGGGGCTATAGCTGTTTGGCATCTCGGACTTCGGTTCTGAACCCCAAAACCCGAGACCCTATGGAAGACACCAACCTTCCAAACACAAAACCCTAAGCCGTTCAACATCGCCGGGGTTGGGAAGAAGAAGCTCTGCAACCCAGGCCTTTGCGCGGGTCCCTTGCGGAGGTTAGCTCGGGACCTCTCCGCCGAGCCGCCGAAGGGCGAGGTTTCGGCCGAAAGAGCGGAGGCCGCAGAGGAGGAGGATGGAAGAGCTGAGCCCTGCGATGCCCGAATGAGCGTGCAGCACCAGGAGGCACGTGAGGAGGAGGAAGAGGAGGAGGAGGAGGAGGAGGAAGACGAGGAGAGTGAATCTGACAAGGCCTTGTCCGATAAGGACGACGAGGAGGACCGAGAGCTGTGCACCACTGGGCAAGAGGACGCAGCAAGCCTGGAACCCGAAAGTGTGGCATCCGCGGAGGAGTTGAGCAACGTTAGCCAAGGCATCCTGGAGCTTTTGGAAGAGTTGCAGATGGCTCAGGAGACCGAGGAACCGACGATCTCGGGATCGGAGCTGGGAAACTCGGCCAATCACGCCCTCGCCAAGGAGTGCAAGCATGAGCTGGATGGCGAGGATGGATCTTTAGACATTTCAGACTCTAGGTTTCCTTCATGGGGACTCTAGGTTTCCTTTAACGGGAACTCTAGGTTTCCTTCATGGAAAAACAGCGTACATGAATTTCCGAGCTATAGAAGCCTAAAGTTTTAACGCCTCGCCGCCCTAAGTCTCGTCATCTCCGATTGGAAGCAAGGACCGGAGCGGACCTCCCAGCTCGCGGCCACTGAAAATCCCTTTGCGGTTTCGGGGCCAGTGCAAAGTGCCCGGGGGACCAAAGCAACCCTGAACAGGCTTTATAGGTCATATCTCACATATGTTATGGGAGGTAGAGGTTATAGTGGCCCATACTTCTTAAGGGTCAATTGGTCCCTGAGGTGTCGCAGTGGTTCCGGCAGCGGCGACGGAAGCGCATGCGATTCCCGGAGCCCAGACTGTCTGTGGAGCTCCCACAGATACTCGGGCGGTTTAGGTTTTTGCGGTAAACCCTGAACCCTAAAGGGGTCCGAGTTGCGAGAGCGTAAACTCTTCAGAGTTTAAGGGTCAAGGTCTAGGGGTTAGCCCTCACGTTGGCTTTCTCAGGTCTAGGCAGAAGTTCTTGAACTGCTACGTTTTGCATGTGACCAAGCAGCTTTCAGCCATGGTGCAGCCTCCCAAATCCTGAACCCTGAAACCCCAAACCTCAAAACTACAATGAGGGCTTGTCCTAGCTACAAGCATAAACCCAAAGCCCCAGACCCCAAGCCGCAAACCTCAAGCCTGAACCCCAAATCCCTAAGCTCTATAAATCCCAAACCAAAAACCCTGCGCAGTCAAGGAACGAAGAGAAGGAGAGATCCGAGGAGGTCGGAGTTCAGAAAACGCAGGCTGAATACTCGCGGTTTAGGGTTTCTAGGTTTTAGGATGGGTTTAGGGTTAATTACAAATAATATGAATACACTTGTCACCACCATCACCACCACCACGACGACAAAGACGACGACGACGACGACGATCACTACTGTACCATTGCTACTGCCGCTGCTGCTGCCGCTACCACAACTACTACCACTAGTACCACTACTACCACTACTGCTGCGTACCTACTACTACTACTACTACTACTACTACTACTACTACTGCTACTACTACTACTACTACTACTACTACTACTACTGCTACTACTACTACGACTACTGCTACTACTGCTACTGCTACTCCTACTACTGCTACCACTACTTACTACTACTACTACTACTACTACTACTACTACTACTACTACTGCTGCTGCAACTACAACTACAACTACAACAACAACAGCAACAACAACAACAACAACTACTACTACTACTACTACTACTACTACAAAGAAGAACAATAACAACAGGAACAACAACGACAACGACAACAACAACAACAACAACAACAACCACAA